TTGTATACGATAGCATAGATACAAATTCTAGTAGTGGTGTACAATATACGAGTTTGCTAAAACCTTGGTGTTACTATACTTAGTAGGTTTATATTGACCTTCAATGTCAATCACCATCTTAAGCATAGATTATTTAAATAAATAAAGGACAATACATAAATGTACAGAAACGTTATATAGTGGTCGTTTCTTTGAAGTCTCTGAACGTCAAGCCAGAGGTATGGAAAATCAGTTTGAGATATAAACAAAAATAAATGCAGTTCAGTCTGTGAAAAAGAGCTAGTGACAAAGAAATAAACTGCATAAACCAAATCGAATGGAGCCTGGCAGAAACCACAAGTCGTGTTTCAGGTGCAGAGGAAAATATCCACACACAGGTGCTAGAAACCTTTCGGATGACATTATCATATATGATAAGACACGACAGGAATATGATGAAGTGCTAAGAGCAGAGTTGCAAAGGAAGGCCAGGAAGTATTACATCACAGCTAATCAACAGAAATGAAAGTTCAGCTAGTATTCAATTCAGTTTTCCAGTACTGGTAAAATGACGGATGATAAAGTTACAGCTATAACTTATGTTGCTGTGGCAGAAGATGCAACAGCTGTATGTAGTTTGAAATCCTTAGGCATGGCTCAGTACATTGCTCCGTTTGTGCCTGATATTGCAATAATTGCAACACCATTACATACTCAAACTCACAAAAACTGGGAATGGGAACCTGAGCAAAAAGGATCATTCGAGAAGTTAAAGAGCCTGATGGTATTGAAATACTTTGATCCAAAGTGAAAACAGAGCTGTAAGTAGATGTGCATCCTACAGGCCATGGTGCAGTCTTAACACAAGTAAGTGAGAATTGAGATACTTGTAATATTGTAGCATATGCAAGTCGTGCACTGACTGACACAGAATCGCGGTATAACCAGAGCGAGAAGCCCTTGCAGTTATATTGGCTTGTGAAAATTTTCACATCTATGTATTCGGTTCATATTTCAAGGTGATCACCGTCCATAAGCCATTAGATGTACGTAAGTTCAATAAACCTAATTATAATTGCGTCTTCAACTGTATCAAGCAGTTTCAACCAAGTGAATCCAAACCTGCTGGTTACATAACTCGACATCTTGACCAGGAAAACCATTGTAAATACCACATCCCATTCATTGATACATTCATTGATACAAAAATAATCAACACCTTGCATTCCTGGACCATATGAAGTCGTGAGTAAGAAAGACAGCATGACTACCATTCAGAGAGGAGATAGTGAGATCATCAGAAAAGCTTCATTCCTTAAGAGAATTCCTATTGAAAATTACATAGAATCTAATCAAACAATATCGGCTAATACTCAAACATTTAAGTATTGAAAGACGTCGGTCCCATCACTCATGGTTGAAACGTTTAGAAGTTATACATTTTTCAATTGTTTCATTGAATAAACAAATGTATTCTCACTTTATATAGTGCAAGTTCAACTTTCATAATGTTATTATCTACTTTGAGACATTACAATTTGAAATCTTTTATGTATATATAAGTTACATTTGTTATGATGCATTCACGAGTTTCCTTGTGTATCTAAAAGAGAGGGGGATATAGTATTGTATACATCTTTCACTGCTATATTGTTGTGACCTTTGACCTAGTCTTGTTTTGGAATTAATTATGTGGGCATGCTCAGTGGCGCCAGTTCAGTCCTTTATTTCTATAACTGGATACGTACTACAGGGACATTGTGATGTCATCTGAATTGTACGACTTGGTATCGCGGGATCTCGTAATTGGACGTATCTTATCTGACAGTACACGCAATCTTTTCATTTCAATTAAGTATTTGTACATGTGATGTTCATGACAGTCGCTGAGCAAATGACTGATAACATGATGGTTTAATCATATTTACATTCATTATTTTATGGTACTACTACCATTAATACTTATATTTATTATGTTTGTTGCCAAGCAGCTTGAAGAATTCTTTATTCAAATACATCTTATTATCAGCGAGTACGCACCTATTCGAGCTATTTGCACCATTTCTCAAACGAGAGAGCGCTGTTATTAAAACCGACTTTCTGCTATCGGTTACTTGTTATGTCTTGAAAGGGGAGGTTTCAATCGTATTTTGCCACTCCTAATAAATGTACATAATAAATGTACAATACATGGCATAAAACGACATTCAAAGAGTAAAGGTCATGTACAGACGTAGTTTTGAAACCACTATGTGCAGCACGACAATGTATTATGTATATCATTGTAGCCTGGGGTGACACCGGGGTCAAATCAGTGTTAAGGGCAGCAATAAGAACACCAATTCATCATCGAATGTGCAAAACCTCTTTTCAAAATACACGAAACCAAACAAACATATAGTTTGTTTAGCTGTTTACCCGGTTTTAGACCAAACTCTCAAAGTGTATCTTTTAAACGCATTAGTGGTGAAGAGCTACCCTGGTGTATATTCGGTTGGCCATACACCTAATTAATAACAACGTACACGTAGACATGATTATGTATCTTATGTTATGATATGATATCGACTTCACGTTCGAACTTTCGGTTCATACG